TATTATCGAAATACCTGTAACTATTATGAGTACGACGAGTCACGAGAATATATGGTTACTATTATTCAAAGAATGCAATATTCTTGTAAGTATTCTTCTGTTTCTTAGTGGATAGTTTTGTGTTATAATGTTGAAATAAAAAGAATTGAAATGATTTGTTTTAGCTTTCTATGCGAAGACAAATACAATTGATGTTTATCAATTGTTGTTTACATTTCTAACTTTTTAAGAAAATAATTCATTTGCACCGAAAGTTAAAAATAGTCTTCGAATATATAGTCTGTTGAGATGAACGATCAAATGTTAGTGTCAAGACTGAGATTAGATTATAGTATATCAGATCTTGAAGCATGTACGAAGTCTTCAGAAAACACAACTTTCATTCTTTTCATCTGTATGCAATTACTCAACAACAACCTAAAATATTAGAGTATATGCGATGAGTTTTCATCAATTGAATAGTGTCTGCAGAGCAAAAATTAAACTTACAATTGCTTCAAAGAATATTTTAGAGTATTGCAATCGAAAAAAGAATCTATATTTTAGACGCCTAATGTTTTTGACGGAAATAGTTTGTTTATTCAGTTATATACAAACTAACAACTCATATATTTATTAATGTGTACTACTACAAAAGTGATAGAATTGAAAATTTCTCTGAGATTAGAAATATGTTAGTAAAGACCTTTGAATTCTCACAATTGTGAAAGAAATATAGGACATCATTTTAAAGAATATTTGATTAAACTGATTAATAATCATTAATGAAGAAAAAAAAGCAAAGTGCACGTTACACGTGCAGATTGATCGTTCGACATTCTTATTTTTGACTTTTTAACCAATTCTTGTTACACATTTTTCTAAAAATACATACTCTCGATTTGAGAAAGCTAGTTGTATTATCACAGTATTTTTTGTACAAAATGTAAATTCTTTATCACAATCAATGAAATAGAATCTTGTACACCCCCGCACAAATAAGTATTCCAGTGAGTATATGCAGATTCCAATTTGTTTCAATTATTATTTACACTTCAAAAGTTAAAAAAATTATATAATATAGAAAAAACTTTAAACCATATGCAGTACTAGACACTATTCATGCTTTGCATTTTGATTAGAATGTAATACTTTATTTTATGAATTGAATTTTTTTTGCAGCACTTGATGCTACGCCAACTTCTGTTGTACCGCACAACGTACCATGTTCTCCTGATGTTGGCAAAGTTGTTCTTGTTATAATGGCTGGTGAGCATCGAACACAAATTCGAGATGATCAGTCAACGAGAGCTGCATTGGCTGGCAACACTCGAAATTATCAACACCTAGCTATTACACTATATGAAGATACCGTCTATTTGCTACGTATTCAATTTGAATGCACCGGATCACAAAATGAAGATTCCGTTAGAAATAACTGTAACCTTCCTCATGATGTGGCTGCCTCGATTGATCTAAATGATGATGGTAGATTTAGTGATATAGAAAATGCAGCTCCTTATCGTTGGCCAGTCACTAGTTATACACCACAAGGCATCTATGATCTACAAATATATGTGCCTGACATCGATGGAACGAAGACGAAAAGTGGACCACATCGTATGCGCCTTGACATAACATTAAATGAACAGTATCGTCAAAAATGTGGCAAGAATTATTATAGGGATACGCGAGAGTATAATATTACCATTGTTCGAAAAAATATGAAACAAACAGGTAAATATTTTTTCTTCTACTATGTGGTTGGAGACATCGAATCTTATGAGTATGATTTGATTATTTCAATTATAAACAATTTTGTTTGTATATAATAATGATTTCAACTTTTAAAAAATGAACACTACTCTCAAAAGCATGAATATTTACGAGAAGAATTATTGACGAGTAAATTATTCTACAAATAGAAATATGTTTTGAAACAAAAAAAAGAATTTCGAAATTTCACATATAGAATAGATTTTAGAAGTTAATATGTCACTGAAGTTTTTCATTTAGTGAAGTAAAAGATATTATCTCCAGCAACTTTTTACACATGTTTGTTATGATAAAAAATGCATAGAGAAATGGATAATATCTTTGTGAATGTATAATCAAGTTCAAGAAGATCTTTTTTCTAGTCTATATTGGGCACGATAGATCGATATATTAAGTTTGAAAAAAACAAAAGAATTACTCAGACATCAAAAAATACTATTTTTATAAATTCTAATTATATTATTTATAATTCAAATTTTGAAAGAGAAACATGATTCTATGTAAAAACGTAGTTTTTCTGACAGAACTTCAACCATTTTTTTTCATTTAAACATAGAAACAACTGATATATTTTTTCAACAAGCACATACTACGGATTTTCTTTCGATCAAATTCATCAGTAATGTAACTATAACCATTGAATTCCACAAAACAAAATTCTAGTAATACGTTCTCTAATGAATATTTCTTATTTGTCAATTATAGTCATAAATGACAAATATGGCGAAAATAAAAGAGAATACTAGAAGTATAACATCGTGTACAAATGTATAGAGACTATTTATTCTTCTTTTTTGAGTTTGTCCAAGAAATTTAATCTTGAGTTGTATCACAAATGACAGATGTATTACATTGATCTACGTTCATTTAATCGATTTGTGCAATTCTTAGATTAGTTCAAATATATTTTCATTATCTTTTGATTGAAAATGGATTTATCTAAAAACGTGTTTTATATTAGTATAGAATACAAGAATTTTTGACGGTTTAAACCCATTCGATAGTTGTTAATCGCTAAAATATAATGGAGTTGCACATTACGAACAATGTTTCCAGATATTTTTGATATGATAGATTATATAGTTGACTCAACCGAATTCATACAGAATACTTATTTTTGTGAATTTTCATTATTTCTAGTCGATATCGGAGGTTCATATTTGACATTAAGTAATGCAGTATGTTCTAAAGCTCATGCCAAAATCGTACTTGTTATAATGGCTGGTGAGAAAGGATCACATATTCGGGATGATACACCACTAAATACGGTAATCAGAGAAGATCAAAATCGACACCATTTGGCTATTACCTTATATGAAAATACCATCTATCGAATACGTATTCAACTGGATTGTGACCAACCCTCCAGTAGAGGTTCGTTTAACATCAATTGCAATCTTGCTTACGATGTGAATGTCTATATTGATCTAAATAATGATGGAAGATTTGATGAATCCGAAAGTCGTGTTCCTCATCGATGGCCACTGCGTAGTACAATGACATTAGGCATTTATGATTTGGAAATTCCTATACCTAGTATCGATGGACTGACTACTAAAGATGGATCACACATCATGCGCATTGTTGTGAAATCAAGTGAAGAGTATAACAGAATATGTGGCAGATATGACTACAGTGAAACACGAGAGTACACAGTCAATATTATTCCAAAGGAACCTTCAAAAGAAATTTCACAGGATACGTATGTTACAGGTAATATGCTTTTCTAATTATTGAATACAAGTTTTGGATCACATCAGAAATGTAGTACTCTTTAAGAGTAAGAGTGAATGAATTAGCTATTATAATGATTTATGTATTCAACCGATCGATGCTATTTTGATAAGTCCAATATCATAGACTTGTGACACTTGAGCAAAAGATCATTTAATGTAAAAGAATCATGAAGTTTCGACAAACTACAAAATGTTTTTGACTTTATTGCTGCTCAAGAATATCTCGCTAATGAAAAAGGCAAGTGCTATATACGCCTTCCTACAAACAAAAATAAGGTTCGTGAAGTGCATGACTTGTATCATAAAGATCTCGACAAAGCTAATGTCCATCTTTTGTACACACACCTACAATGTTTCCATAAAGTTTGTTTATTTTTTATTACAATATACTGAATTCTCTCTTTTAGGCTATGGATTGACGCATTGTTCTCCTGGTAATTTAGTCTGTTCAGTAGGTCATAGTGCTATTTTTTCTGTGAGTATATCTGGTGAACAAAATACACAAATTCGAGATGAAACGAGAAAATGTAGCTCAACAAATAATTATAATGATCAAAGCAATCTAGCTGTCACATTATTCGACAATACATTTTATACTCTTCGCATTGCATTATCTTGTGTCCAACAATCAGACTATGATAATACATATAACCAAGATCCATATGCGTTCGAAACATACTGTCGTGATACTCGCTATCTTGGTATGTGGATAGATTTCAATAATGATGGTACATTTGATGACAATACAGAACGAATTATTCCTAACCATTGGTATACAGATGATCCTCACATGACTCAGAGTGATATAAGTTTTACTATTCCACAAATTGATGGTAGATATTATGTAGGCGGACAACATCGAGCACGCATTGTTTTGGTACAAGATACAAGAAATCGTAAGCCATGTCAAAACAATGGTTATGGTGAAGTTCGAGATTACACAGTTAATATTATTCGAAAGGAAGTTTCAAAGGAAACGCATGATACAGGTAATATA